GAAAAACGCCCCCCTGGAGACACAGGTACGAACCCCCTCAGCAGGCTCCACTGGCTGCCCACAGGTGCACCTGTGCCCAGGTAAACGCCTGCCACTGCCTGGCCTTACCTGAACATCTCTGTCACTTCTCCCTTAGCCAGGGCCACTAGGACGGGAAAGCCGATGCAGGCAGGGACCAGGTACAGGAGGGCAGGCTGTAGAGAGACACAGGCTGGTAAGGCAATGCGGAGCAAGCCTTTTGAGTCTCTTGAGCTTGACTGAGGGCCAGTGACTGGCCCAAGTTCACAGAGCAAGTCAGTGGCCGGGCCTCCATCCAGGGCTCCTGACCCTCCCTGGGAGGCAACATAGGAAACACAAAGAACTCCAAGTATGCAGGACTATAAGGCTCCCAGGAGCCTGGCTGAGCATCTGAGTCACCTGGGACACCAGGTCAAATGCACCCTGCTATGGCGGTCCTATTCCCAGAAAGCCTGCTTCCCTGGGGCTGAGCCTGGGTTCTACACTTCAGCACATGTTCAAGGGGATGCTGTTATGACGACAACGATGACACAGTTGGTGTGTGTGGAGCCCTTGATGCAGCCTGTATTAAGGTGGCCCAGCTGGTCCGGCCTGCAGAGTCTGGGCTGAGACTCCTGGTTAGAGCTGGGTTTGGCGTAAAGGGCAGTTACACTAACAGCCCCTGGCCATGGAGCACCACTGTGCAGGCACCCAGCTCAGCCTCCCAGCAGGCTTTCAGCCCACTTCCACATCCTCTGTCCTCCTTCGTAGGCGAGAAGGGCTAACACTTTGGGAGGAGAGGGGACTGCTAAGGCTCGGACCCCAGGCTTGCCAGACTCGAACACCACTTGTTTCCTTAAAGCATCTGAAAGCAGCACGTCACTCCACTGTTCAACACCCTCAAAGCTCCCAGTGGTCTGAAGGCCTCGTGAGATGTGACCTCTGCTTCCTTCTCTGGCCTCACCTGACCTGTGCTTCTCTGCTCATACTAGCCTCTCTTACATTTAGCCACAGAATCTTTGCACATGCAGTTTCTGCTGTCTGGGAAGTTTTCCCCATCTCTGCCTAGTTTCCTCCTCCTTCACAGCTCAGCTTGGATGTTATTTCTGTGGGGAAGCCTCCACACATGGAGTTAAGTCCCCAAGTTGCACACTCGGAACCCCCTCTAATTCTCCTGCACAGCATCCCCTGGCAATTGGTAATGAGCACCCCTGTGCCCCGCAGACTGGAGCCTCTGTCCCCTGCTAGGTTGTGAACTCAGAGAGGGCAGGGTCATCACTGCCTTGTTCACCACTGCATGCCTAGCACTCAGGAGATGGTCTGGCAGGCCAGCCCCTGGATCTCACATGGCCAACTGCATGGTTTGGGTCTGGGATCCTGTGGCTTGAGAAACACACTGGATGCGTGTGTGTGCATGCCTAAAATCCCAAAAAGAGAGAGATGGAGAAGGGATGGCAGTGTGACCACTCCCTGGGGTCTGCTTGCTCACCTTCCCTTTTCCTCTTCCACTAGTGTATGTGCCCTCTGGCAAATTAAAAAAAAAAAAGGAAGCGGGGCTGGTGAACACTAAGTGAATGGCTGCTGAATGAGGGCTCACAAACTTAGGAGGGTGTCTCAGAGACAAATGAGTGAGGGCGAGACACCGTTCTTAACTCAAAGCCAGGCCTTGGCCACAGAACAAAGAAATCTCTCCTCTGTGCCCGAGCCCACTCTTCAGACTGTTTGCTGGTAGAAGCAGTAGATGGACTCTGAACCACATTCTATTTTTTACACATACACACGCACACACACACACTCCTCGAATCTAACAGTACCCTCAGTGTCAGGATCAACATTTCACTGAAAATGTTACTGAGGTTCAGAGAGGAGAAACAACTTGCCCAATGTCACACAGGGTAGGGAAGTGGCTGAGCAGCTGTGCTTCTCCCACTGAGAATCAATTCTTTGCTATGACTTCGATTTTTCCCAGAGTGAAAAAATCACAACAAAGATTCATACCAAAACCTGGGAGAGACAAACTCATGTTCAGAGGACAATTTTTTTTTTTAGAAATTTTTGCTAGAGAGAGCTAATTTGATAGCAGAGAGACAGAGACAGAAAATGAGAAATCACACCCCAGGAGGATGGCCACATTGCAATCCCTTCTTCATTCTCCTCTTGAGATTTTGGGCACACACACACATGTGCCTGGTGTGAGTTTTAAGCTACTGGGTCCAGGACTCGAACCATGGTAGGCCATGTGGGAATCCAGCAACATAACTGCTACACCATCTGCTGGTCCCAGCTGACAATTTATAGCCCTAAGTGAACTTACTAGAAAATAGTAAAGAAGCTAGAAAAAGAACAAACATTCAAAAAGTAGAAAGCAAAGAAATATTCAAAAAGTTGAAATGAATGAAATAGAAAATAGGACCAGCGGATGGTGTGGATGTTAAGGTGCTAGACCCCACAAGGCTGATCTGTCTCTGGAAAGCATATGCACCCTATAGCAAAAAAGGGGGGAAAAAGAAATAGAAAACAGAACAAACACAAACGTATTTGGGTATAGACGAGAAGAGTGAGGATGAGAGGAGGGAGAAGGACCTGGCCAAAATCACACAGGTCGTCAGGATGTGGACCTAGGAGCCTCTGCTTCTAAGCCCAGTGCATCCTGTAAACCAGTATCAGACTGGGCAGAAACAGAACTTCCAGGGGGAGGGTGGGTAGAAACCTAATGCTCCCTGCCCCTGCAAGGCCTGCCTTGCTCTCAACCCCCGAGGGGCTCCAAGCTTGGGGAGGGGTTCCTCTGGGAGCTAGGATGTGGACTATTTGTAACTACAGGCCTGTGCTGCATTCTTTCCTCTCAAGGCCTCACGAAGCCTGTGTGAAGGAAGTCCATGCTAAGGAGAGGCTGGGATGGATAGCTCAAGGCAGTCAACTGCAGCAGGACTCCTGGCCTTCCAGCCAAATGGGCCTTACTCTGTGGCCAGGTAACCTTCCCTGCCTCTGTACATTCAGCACGTTATACCTGACTGTCCTAAGGGCTGTACTAGGGCAACCTCTAGCTCTCTGGCATGGAGGTTAAATAAGTTGAAGGCCATACGGGCAGAGGTGGTGACTCCTACCTGGGACAGTGCTGGCACTGGAACTGCCTGTGTCTTGGAGAAAAGTGCGGGATCCCATGGAAAAGGTTCTCCCTATCTTGGATCCCCTTCCTAGGAATGATTTTTCTGAGATGTCAGCTTGGAAGACTGGGGAGAAAGGCTGGATTGCTCCTGCGGCCAGGAGGCCAGGACGCCATCCAGGACCTAGGCTGATGTGCCATGTGATCAGGGGAAGTCTTTCTTCTCAGGGATGCAGTTTCCTCACAAAGGAGAAGGCCTCTCCCCCTGTATGTGGGAGAGCTCTGATCTGAACGGGAGCCTCTTCAGTGTCCAACCTGGCAAGGGCAAGCCCGCCACCTGCTGGCTGCTGGGGGAATGGCTCTGCTTGACATCTAACGTGGCTGAAAGCTGGTGCAGAGACCTCTCAAAAGCCTCTAAACGCGTCCCCAATCCAGACCCACTCACTGTGACCCCTCACTCCGCACCAAGAGCATGTCATCTCAGCTTGCATAGCCCAAGGTCACTGGGAACAGAAACGAGTAAGAGATGGTTCCCCACTGGTTCTTGGTTTCTCTACCTATAGGCAAGGGGACTGTTGACCTTGTGTAAAATAGGAATAGTAAAAGTATTTCATCTAGGGGCTGGCAGGTGGCATGGTGGTTAAGGTGCTGGACTCCCATGTGGCCTACCACAGTTTGAGTACCAGACATAGTGGCTTGCTTTCTCACTTTTCCTCTCTCCCTCTCTCTCTCTTTGGTGAATGCATGTGCCTATAGCAAATCATAAATAAATAAATAAATAAAAATAATAATTTTTTGATTTTTTTTTTTTAAGAGGTTTTTGCTACAGGGCGCGCGCGCTTGCCAGAAAGACAGAGAGAGACAGAGAGACAGAAAGCGAGAAATCACCCCCCGGGGGGATGGTCACGTTGCAATCCCTTCTCCTCCGTTCTCTTGGGATCCTGGGCACAACACGCACATGCGCCCGGTGTGAGTTTAAGACACTGGGTCCGAGATGCAAACCGTGGTCGACTACGTGGGAGTCCAGCAACATAGCCATTACGCTAACTGCTGGTCCCTTTGGAGAGGTTTTTGCTATAGGGCACATGCGCTTGCCAGAAAGACAAGAGACAGAGAGATAGAAAGCAAGAAATCACCCCCCAGGGGGGATGGTCACGCCGCAATCCATTCTCCTCTTGGGATCTTGGGCACGCACGCACATGGATTGAGTTTAAGCCACTGGGTCCTGGACTCGAACTGTGGTCAACTACATGGGAGTTTAGCGACATAGCCATTTTGCCAACTGCTGGTCCCAATAATTATTTAAAAAAAATCATTATTTTAATTTATTTATTTACTTATCTTTTAATTTAACCAGAAAGGGACAGAGTGAGAGAGAAAAAAAAGGAAAAGTGGGAAAGCAAGCCTCTAGGTCCGAGACTGGAATTGCGGCTGGCCATGCTGCCTTTCTCATGGCTGGGGCGCCAGAGTCGGGCTTGGTTTTCATGCTGACCCAGGCCTGAATCCTGGCTGCACCACAGACTTGCTGTGTGGCACCAGGACTCATTTCCTCATCTGTTCAGAGGACCCTCATGAGCTCAGCGCCTGGCATGTGGGAACAAGCTCTTATAATTTCTGGTAGACACTGGGGTAACCCCATTCCTTTCACTCTTCCCTCCTCCAGGCCACACTGCCAGCCCTGCACCCTCATGCTATACTGGCTCACTGAGTGGCAGCTCAACACCCAGTACTCCTCTTGGTAGAAGGCTGCAGAGCCCGCACAACTTGGAGAGAATGGGGAGGAGAAGCCCCAACACCCTACTGCTTGTCTGGTAGGCAGGCGCTAGGCTCAAACAGCCAACACTCACCCCAGTCCCAGTCTTCCCACATGTCCCCACCACAGAGCCCGAGGAGCCAAAGCCTCTCTTTCCAGGACTCCTACAGCAGTACAGCCATGTGATCTGGCATGACTGTGGGTAAAAATCTGCTAAAAGGACTCGGGGAACTTTCTGCCCACCCCCGTCCCCCTGATGAAGGCACTGGGCACAACTACTATGCTTTTTTCCTTTCTTGCTAACATGCTCGGGCTGCATGGGAGCAGTGGCAGCCGCTTTGCCACCCCAGGTGAAAGACCAAGATAATCACAGACGTGATTGCTCTGACACCACCGGGGAACACCCACCCCTGGACTGCTTGTACGTATAACTAATCAGCCCTTCCTAAGCCCCTGTCATCTGCAGTGAAGCGTTCCTGACATGCTGAGAACAGTCCTGCTCACCTGGGCGTGCTTGAAGATGTGCATGATGAAGATGGTAAGGCCCAGGCCGAAGATGTAGGCTGCAAAGCTGGTGTAGAAGTAGGTATGGGTGTTCTTCTTCAGGCTGCAGGGCAGGTGTGGGGAGAAGGGAGGAGGGTTAGATGCAGGGACTGGAGCAACAACATTCTTTCTGAGTAGGAAGAGATGGGGACAACCGAGGAGGGTGGGGGTAGGGGTGACTGAGAGCTCTGACTGGGAATCTGCAGGTGGGCATGCACTCTGGTACTATCCCCAGCCATGCATCTTTGGACAAGTCACCTTCCTTCTCTCAGAATAAGTTCACCGTGGAAAACCATGAGCCCATCTCCCTAGTAATTATGGCTCTCAAACACTGTAACAAAATAGTGGTTTTGAGACTTCAGCTAGTGTCAAGAGTCATCTGGAAAGCTTGTGTAAAGAATACAGGATCCTAGGTCAAGTCCCTAGGATGTCTGATCTAACAGGTCAGAGGCAAGACTCAGGAGTCCGCATTTTGAAAAACTGAGGTGAATGTGATACAGGTGAGTCATGCTTTGAGACAAAAACTGCAAAGGTAAGTGACGACTTTGAAGCATGGTAGATCTAATAGCTCAGTAACGGGCTTATGGGGCACTAAGCAGATCTGGCTGTGTGGATAAAATGCCAATGGCTTCTTGGAGGTGATTCATCCAAGAGCAGTTTCAGAAAGGATGGACTGCAAGCTCCCAGGCATTGCCATTGTGTGATTCTCCTTTATTATCTATTTATTTATAACAATTATTTTATTTATTCCTTCATTTTCATTTTTTAAATGTGACCAGAGAGAGACAGAGGGTGAGAATGAGAGAGAAAGGAAGTGAGAAAGCAAGCCACCAGATTTAGGACTCGAACTCTGGTCAGCCATGTGGGAGTGTCCAGCACCTTAAGATCTAACAGGTCAGAGGCAAGACTCAGGAGTCCGCATTTTGAAAAACTGAGGTGAATGTGATACAGGTGAGTCATGCTTTGAGACAAAAACTGCAAAGGTAAGTGACGACTTTGAAGCATGGTAGATCTAATAGCTCAGTAACGGGCTTATGGGGCACTAAGCAGATCTGGCTGTGTGGATAAAATGCCAATGGCTTCTTGGAGGTGATTCATCCAAGAGCAGTTTCAGAAAGGATGGACTGCAAGCTCCCAGGCATTGCCATTGTGTGATTCTCCTTTATTATCTATTTATTTATAACAATTATTTTATTTATTCCTTCATTTTCATTTTTTAAATGTGACCAGAGAGAGACAGAGGGTGAGAATGAGAGAGAAAGGAAGTGAGAAAGCAAGCCACCAGATTTAGGACTCGAACTCTGGTCAGCCATGTGGGAGTGTCCAGCACCTTAACCACCACGCCACCTGCTGGTCCCCAGTGACTCCCCTTTATGATGCCTGCTCTATACCCTCTGTGTGCCCCCCAGTACCCGGACTAGTGCCAACTACTATGGACCCAATCAATACTTATGCAATGAATGAGTCCTCTGACCCCCTTTTCTCCTTGTCCTGGCTGCTTCTGAGCCATGCACTGCAAGTACTTTGGGAACTATCCTGTTACGAGGGCTGGGGTGCAAGTTAACCCCTGCAGGAATGTTGCACCCATTCTGGAATTAGCTTCGGGGGTGCTGGCAGTTGTATCTGTCTCCAACAAATGGTCTAGGGGATTCTTTGGGCCTCTTTGTATTACCCCTGAACAGCTAATGGTAGAGCTGGTAGGCACAGACGTGCCTCTACTTACAAACTGGCCAGGTCCCTTCCAAAAGCTGTCTGGGAGCTGGCAGGTAGCAGGGAGCTTAAGGCAACTGAGTCCCACAAGGCTGAATGCATGGTTCGAGTCCAGGACCTGGTGGTTTGAGAATCATGCTGGGCACGTGTACGTGCGTGCCCAAAATCCCACAGAGAATGGAAAAGACACTGTGGCATGGCCATCACCACTGAGGGGGTGATTTCTCACTTTCTCTCTCTGGTGAGTGCATACACTCTATCGCAAAACTAAAAGGAAACTGGGACCAGCAGTTAGCGTAATGGCTATGTTGCTGGACTCCCACGTAGTTGACTGCGGTTCAAGTCCTGGACCCGGCAGCTTAAACTGATGCCAGGTGCGTGTGCGTGCGTGCCCAAGATCCTGAGAGGAGAATGGAGGAGAAAGGATTGCAGTGTGGGCATCCCCCCCTAGGGGGTGATTTCTCGCTTTCTATCTCTCTGTCTTTCTGGTGAGCGCACGCCACTTAAAGCAAAAACTTCTAAAAAAAAAAAAAAAAAAAAAGCAAAAGCAAAAGCAAAAGCGGTCTGTATGCCCATATGTAAATGAGGTCTGACGCAGAACTACATAACCCAGTGTGTGTTGAGTGGGTAATGGTGAAGTTTCATGTGTAAACTGAATTTCAGTGATACTAGTACTGAATTTCCCATCACCACTGTTAACATCATTACTGGTTTTTTTGGTAGTTACTGGACATGAGGAGATTAAGGAAAGTTCACAAACCATTTCAAAATTAAGTGCACACAAAGTATGTCCTCATGGGGTGCCTAAGCATAAAACAACGAAGCAGCTGCTTGCGCCACCTGCTGGTGGTAGGCCCAGTTGCATGAACTCAGATGCAGCCTTTGTTGTTTTAAATGAGTGATTCAGTTGGCCCTCTCTTCCTTCTGCTTATTTTCTACACTAGACTGAAAACATTTCTGAGTAAGGAGTGGGCAGAGGACAGCTGAGGCACCTGGGACACAGTGACTCGACTCCAGCTGATAAAAACTGATGACGACGAGAACTGCAGCTGTACTCCTCGGCTGAGGTCAGCCCGTGCTCAGCACTTGCTCTCCAGATTTCCACAGCAATCCTGAGGTTGGAACTCTGGTTTACCACAAACTTACAGACCAGAAACCGGAGGCTCAGAAAGGTCAGGCCACTTCCAAGGTTGCACAGTGAGAAAGCATGATGACCAAGGCCAGGACCTCTGGGATTAAATATCTTGTCTGTGAGTCTTAACTTTCTACAATACTTTTGGTCACATAGCATTTGAACACTCAGAACTTCAAAATGCAAAATGCAGATAAAATCAGAACTGCTTTGGCTTCAACAGGGGTGAGGGAGTCTAGTCCTAGGAGATGACTCCTGTGAGCTCCTGAAAGCCATTGGAAAATCCATGAGAAGCCCAGACCAGGGCAGGTCCTTTTGCATACCATTGCGTGACTCTCCTTTATTATTTATTTATTTATAAAAATTTATGCATTTATAAAATTTTAAAAAATTTATAAATGTATAAATTTATAAAAATTATTACCTGATGTCAAAACGCAGCAGCAATGCAATGAAGATCCCTGCAGGGAGAAAGCCAGGGTCAGAGGGTGGCAGAAGGGCAGGAGGGTGAACTACCTTAAGAGTGGAAACGGGGTCAAACCCAGTTGTTTCTAGAACAATCACTGAGGACCAGGGGTGTGGCCAACAATGGAATCCCGTTTCTCTGCCTAGAAGGTGATGGCCTGAGGATCTTGCTTTGGCCTAGGACCAGGTACCTGACAGCACCACACGATGTCATGGCAGACCTGCCCACATAAGTGGTTATTGAACTGAGTGCCTACTAAGTGCCTACTTACTCAGGCACTATGGGTAACACAGGGTGAGCAAAATCACTGTCGTCACAGAGCTTAGTCAAGGAGGCAGGAGACACATGCTGGGACAGACCTCACACAGAAACGTGTATCAATGCAAGCGCTCAACTGTGAAAGGGCACTTCCTGTGCCATGGGAAGGAGGTTGGAGAGGGAGTAGGGGGAGGAGTAGGAAGGGGCTTTCTCTGAAGTGACACCTGCCAGGGAGAAAACAGTGTGTGCAAAGATCCTGAGGAAAGAGGGCTTGGGCAATGTGGCTGGGACTGAGGAGCCATCTCAGCTCAGGGCAAGAGAAGCAAACGATGGAGCAGTGATGCACGGCCCCAGAGGATGCGGAAGGAATTGTATTCACTCTGAGAAAGAGACACACTGAAGAGTCTGAGCAGGAGAGCCACCTACACAGGCTCAGCAGAAGCCCCCAGTGGCAGCTGGGCTGTTAGAGCTCTGAGAAGAGCAGGAGCAGGTACACAGCATCAGGTTCTACAGGGGATCAGGGGAGGATGGTCAGCCTGGTCCACCCAATGAACTCCTATTCACCCTTCAAAACCTAGCCCCTGGTGCGCCAGGAGCCTCAGTCCTTGAGGCATAGCAGGACAGGGCAGAGGCTGAGTCTCAGGGGGCAGACTCTCAAGAACAGAAATACTCTGAGCTAATCAGAAGCATATACTGGCAGGGCCAGCAGGTGGCGAAGTGGTTAAGGTGGCTGGATCCCACATGGCACACTGTGCAGTTTGAGTCCGAGATCTGATGGCTAGGAAAACATGCCGGGCACATGTATGCATGTGCTCAAAATCTCGAGTGGAGAATATAGAAGAGATTGTGGAATGGCCATCACCCCAGGGGTGATTTCTCAGTTTCCCCCTCTCTGCTTCTATCTCTGTCTCTCTAGAGGGCAAGCACCTATAGCAAATTAAGGGAAAAAAAAAAAAGCACCAACTGGCAACACATAATTGATTTTTAAAAAATAATTATTTGGCCAACTTTATTATGTTTTAAAAATGTGCAGGACCAGCAGATGGCATAATGGGTACACTGCTGGACTCTCACATAGCCGACCACAGTTCAAGCCCTAGACACAGAGGCTTAAAACTCACGCAGGGTGTGTCTGCGTGTGTGCCCAACACCCCAAAAGGAGAATGGAGAAAAAGGAATTGCAGCATGGCCATTCTTCCTGGGGGATGATTTTTTTGCTTTCTGTCTCTCTGGCAAGTGCATGTGCCCTATAGTAAAAATCTCTTTAATAATAATAAAAAAAAATTGCTATAGAATGCATGCACTCATCAGAGAGAGACAGAGACAGAGACAGAGAAAAAGTGAGAAAGCAAGATACCAGGTCTAGAATTTGAACATGCAGTTGCCCAGTGCCCTAACTACCATGCCACCTGCTGGTCCCTCACCATTAATTTTTTTTTTTTTTTGGGGGGGGACAGGTTTTTGCTATAGAGCACGTGCACTCACCAGAAAGACAAGAGACAGAGAGACAGAGAGCAAGAAATCACACCCCTGGGGGGATGGCCACGCCACAATCTCTTCTCTAATCTCCTCTCGGGATCTTGGGCACGCATGCACACCTGCCTGACATGAGTTTAAGCCATTGGGTCTGGAACTTGGACTGTGGTCGATTCCATGGGAGTCCAGTGATGTAGCCATTGTGCCATTAGTTGGTCCCACCATTAATTCTAAAGAGGAAAATAAGTCAGTCTTCTGGGAGACTATGAGTAGGGAGTTTGTGGGTGTAGGGAGATGCTTTTCTGGAAACAAAGCCGAGAAATGAGTGTCCCCTGCTGGCTGTATCTTACAACGGTTCTCCAATTAATTTAGGGGCCAGGGCTCTGCCAGGTCCTTTCACTCATAATATTTTAGTTGGTCTTCAAAACAGTGATCCATCCAGACTCCGGGAGGGTGCAATCAACATAAATTCATTGTGACTGCTGAAAGATGTGGTGAGCTATATGGGTGGGAGGGAAGGAAGATATGCAGGGATGGACTGTGCATACCTCAAGGCCACAACTATGACTATTAGGAACACTGGAGACATTTGTGGGTGCCTGTAGTGGCAGACCATCCTTTGGAGAGTGAGGCAAATGCTTTATCTGACTCCATTTTTTTTCTTTTTTTTTGGGGAGAGGTGTTTTCTTTTTTTTTTTTGCTATAGGGCGCATGCGCTCACCAGAAAGAGAGAGAGACAGAAAGCGAGAAATCACCCCCTAGGGGGGATGGTCACGCTGCAATCCCTTCTCCTCCATTCTCCTCTTGGGATCCTGGGCACGCACGCACACGCGCCCGTCATGAGTTTTAAGCCACCGGGTCCGGGACGTGAACTGCAGTTGACTACGTGGGAGTCCAGCGACGTAGCCATTACGCTAACTGCTGGTTCCCCCTGTTGCTATTTTTAAAAGCAGTTCCCAGGACCAGCAGATGGCATAATGGTTACATCGCTGGACTCCCATGTAGCTGACCATGGTTTGAGTCCTGGACCTGATGGCTTGAAACTAATGCTGGACATGTGTGTGTGTGTGTGTGTGCATGCCCAAGATCCAGAGAGGAGAGACGGGAGGAGAAGGGACTCTGGCATGGCCATCCCATCTAGGGGGTGATTTCTTGCTTTGTTTCTATCTGTTTCTCTGGCTAAGGCATGTGCCCTATAGCAAAAATCTCTCCCCTCCCCCCCCCCTTTTTTTGGAGAGATTTTCACTGTAGGGCGCGTGCGCTCGCCAGACAGAGAGAGACATAGAGACAGAAAGCGAGAAATCATCCCCCAGGGGGGATGGTCACGCCGCAATCCCTTCTCCTCCATTCTCCTCTCGGGATCTTGGGCACGCATACACACGCGCCCGGCGTGAGTTTTAAGCCACCGGGTCCGGGACACGAACCGCGGTCGACTACGTGGGAGTCCAGCAACATAGCCATTACGCTAACTGCTGGTTCCCTCTCTCCTCCTTTTTTAAAGAAAGGTTTTTTGCTATATAGGCATGTGTGTTTGCTGGAAAGACAGAGAGACAGAAAGTGAGAAATCACCCCCTGGGGGGATGGCCACGCTGCAGTCCCTTCTCCTCCAGTCTTCTCTTGGGATTTTGGGCACACATGCACACTCACTTAGTATGAGTTTTAAGCCAGGTCTGGGACTCGAACAGCAGCTATGTGGGTGTCCAGAGATGTAATTACACTATCTGCTGGTTCCCCATCTTTTTTTTTTTTTTTTTTTTGGAGAGATTTTCACTGTAGGGCACGTGCGCTTGCCAGAGAGACAGAGAGAGACATAGAGACAGAAAGCAAGAAATCACCCCCCAGGGGGGATGGTCATGCCGCAATCCCTTCTCCTCCATGCTCCTCTCGGGATCTTGGGCACGCACGCACACGCGCCCGGCGTGAGTTTTAAGCCACCGGGTCCGGGACACGAACCGCGGTCGACTACGTGGGAGTCCAGCGACATAGCCATTATGCTAACTGCTGGTTCCTTTTTTTTTTTTTTTTTAAAAGAAAAAGTTCCCACAGAATAACTTTGTTTGCAGTCAGAGCTGGCCAGAGTCTTGGTGCTGGTTCTTTTTGTTTTTTTTGGAGGTTTTTTTGCTATAGGGCACATGCGCTCGCCAGACAGACAGAGACAGAGAGACAGAAAGCGAGAAATCACCCCCCAAGGGGGGATGGTCACGCCGCAATCCCTTCTCCTCTCGGGATCTTGGGCACGCACGCACACGCGCCCGGCGTGAGTTTTAAGCCACTGGGTCCGGGATGCGAACTGTGGTCGACTACATGGGAGTCCAGCGACATAGCCATTATACCAAGTGCTGGTTCCCGGTGCTGGTTCTTACTGGTGTGTGAACTCGCATCAGTTCCTTTTCTCCTGAGCTTCAGCATCCTCACTGGTAACCAGGGAAAGCCTCTGCTTCATTCCCGCATGTGATGAAAGCATCAGACACAAGTGCTCTTACCATCCTAGGCTATCCAAACAGGTATTACTTCCTACGCTAGGGAACGAGCTGGCTTTGCACTCACCAGAGGAGAGGAGAGGAGAAAGCACCCTCATGGGGAATGGTCTCCCTGCAATCCCTTCTTTTCCACGTCTTCTACCTTTCAGGATTTTGAGCATGTGTGCACAAGCGCTTGGCATGTTTCTCAAGCTGCTGGGTCCTGGACTTGAACTGTGTGCCCAGCCATGTGGGATCCAGTATAACCTGCTCCATACTTTCTTTTAAGCAGGCCTCCAACCCACTGGGCCCCTCAGCCTAGTGGAACAAGTATGCCCTCTGGGTGTTTGCTGCCTCTGTCCTGGGCCAAGCCCTGCAGACATGCAGCACCCAAGCCTTGTTCATTTCCATGCCCTCGAAGGCAGCTCAGCTTTGCTGTCACACTCACGACGGGTGGCCTGGATTAATGGTGCCCCAAAGGCAGGCAGGCTGTGGATGCATGGGAGGTACACTTGTGCTTGGGGCTGGGGATAGGGCTCCATCATGCCCATTTCCACAGGCTGACTGACTGGCACCCACATGTTCAAAAGCCACCTTGTGCAGGTCAGCAGGTACATGCACACATGCCCCTGCCAGGAGAGCAGGCATAGGGGCCTATCATTGTGTCCACGCATTCCCATGCGGTGTGGGTGTTCCCCTTCGAGTCGTAGCCCAGGGGAGGAAGGGTGAAGGTGCAGGCATCCTAGGACACCTGTAACACTTGCGAACATCAGGAAGGGGTGTGTGTATGTACGAGAGGGTGTGAGAGCTGTCAGGTTCCTTGAAGACTGTCACAGCAAGTGCTTTCTCACAGACTACAGATCAGTTTTTGTCATTCATGTTCAGCTTACATAGACCAAAAGCTCCATGAGGACAATCTTGCTCACCACTGTCAGAGCATGGAATGGACTGTGCTCTGTGTTATGTGCATTGCAGTGCAATCCTTCACTAAACCCTGGGCTGACTTGGGGTGGGGGTTTGGAATCACCCAGCCTAACCCCTTCCCTTTCCCCATGGGTAAGACTGTCTGTTTCATAGGAACCCCCTTTGCTCCAGGGAGTGTCCACTCCACCCATGATGTCACAGCCCCCATCCCATCAGGGTCACCTGGAATGACGATATCTCCGAGCCCCAGCATGGCGAAGTTGTCTGCTTCGAGGCCTTTCTCTAGCAGATCCTGGGGAAATACCACTGTAGGGAGAGGCAGGAGGTGAGGAACTGGCTAGTGCCCAGCTTGCCTTGACTCCTAGTCTCCTACCTGCTGTGACACTAATCACGAATTTGTGTGTCTGGGTGGGGGAGGGTGTGGGAGAGGTCAGAGGCTGCTATAGGTTGAAGGGCATGTCTCCATTTGGAATCACAGCTGGCTAGAGGGGGTTGGAATCTGGGGTCATTTGGGCCAAAGGTTTAACCCTTTATTGAGCTATAACATACCATATAATTTCAATGCCTTTTTATAGCTACAGAGCCCTCTGGTTAAATGGGATCAAGCCTAAAGCCTAGTATATAAAAGAGAAAAAAAACCACATAGGGCTGACATCTAAAAGCTCTTCTATCTCATTACACCAGCAGTATAGACAGATGGTGGCCCTGATTCTGAAGCAGGGCAAGCCTGGAATATAGGCTTCTTCTGTATTTGCTGAGGGAGAAAAAGTCTACAGGCCGCACATCTGCAAATTCCTTGCCTAAAGCCCCTCATTCAGAAAGTCTGTTGGACGGCTTGTGTGAATGAATACGGATTAGATAGAAATGCTTCGCTCTGTGTCCAGTTATAGCAAGAGGGCTGTAACCAGATTTCAGCCATAGGGCCTTGCAAGCAGGACAGTCACAAGTGAGCTTCAGGATCTGGCCACAGGGGTCTGCTGTGCAACTTTGCAAAGGTTACTTAGCGGCCTAGTCCCCCCGCCCCACTCCATGAAATGGGTATGACAATGGAACCAACCCCTAAGGGCTGTGCTGAGATAAAGTGGCGTGCACACATCTGACACCCCAAGCCTTCTCTACTGACCCAGTTCGGACTTGGTGTGAGGCAGTCCTACCAGATGGTGCATCAGGTATGGTGGAAGGCCAAAAGTCAATCACAGTCCTATTTTATGAATTCTTGCTTGACATTGCAGCAGGGGGTGGAGGGGGTGGGTGGTGGTGGTGGTGTCACATGACTCCATTCCGACCAATAGTATGGATGCAGAGATGCAACAGGGTTTCCAAGTCAGCTTGTGGCCTCCCTGAAATGTAGACATCCCTACCCTTCCACTTCACAGTGCATGAGACATAGATTTCTTTGTTCAATCCTCTCGATCCTGGCAGCATTCAATCCCGAGTGAATCCCGAGTGGCAAAAAGTATTTGTCTCCATTTTAGATGTGGAAACCAGAGAGGTTTGGAGAGATTCGGAGGTTAGGTCTCCTTCCCAAGCCCACAGTCAGCACACGGCAGAGCCAGGATTACAGCCCAGGCAGCCTGACATTAGCAGACGTGCATGTAACTATTCTGTTTTTCTGCCTCTAAGTCTAGTCCTAGCAGCAGAAGGAAATGGGTCTTCTACCCAACTCGGAAAACGAGATCCCAAGCATTGGACACCAACTATGACGGTATCACTTCCCTATTCAGAACCTTCCAATGGCTCACTTGCTGCCCGCTGAGCAATGTCCACACTTCTGAGCTGTCCCAAATCTTGGTTTTGCCCACCTCTGCCTAGCCTTTCCCATGCTGCTTCCTAAACTCAGTTCCATTCCCTCTTTGATTCTATTTTTTAAAGATTTTTTAAAAATAACTTAATTAAAGAAAATTATATTTAATTTTAGAGCGGGAGAATGAGAAAAGCAAGCTGGAGGTCCAGGACTCGAACTACAGTTGGCCATGTCGGAGTCTAATCATGGGACCTGCTGGCCCCACCCCTCCTTGATTCTTTATTCCCAGAGCCCTGCATGCATTTGGCCTTTGCTGATGGGGTAGAGATTCTAATACCCACTGCTTCTGCACGCTTGGTAAGGCATAGCATCCTTCACAACCCAGGGAAGCTTTTCCTGACACCATGGCTGGGTACTCTGGCCTCCTACATTCCCTAGGCTCACCCACCCAAGTGTGGAGAGTAACCAGTGTCCTGGCTCGTTCAGCACCTGTCCCCTAGCTCTGGAGAGCTGCCCTGCCTTATACACTTGGTTCTAGGGGTACTGCCAATTCAAACTCTGCCCCCAGGCACTGGAGATGACAGTGGCCCCAGCTGTCCCTTGCAGTCCTCATCTTTCCTATGGAAGTTGCTGACATATGAGCCAGGCCAGGCCTTACTCAGGCCAACGCTGCAACCACAGAATTCAGGAGCAGTTTGTGGCCATGAGGAGAAAGATGACCATTTCTTGATTCCCTGAGTTCTATTCACCCCAACTGCCTGCTGCCATGAGCCACTGCTCCCTGGTGCTCATTCTTCGCTGTCTCTTCTTCCCAGCTATCGGGGCTGACCAATCCTGCTCCTCTTTGAGACCTGTGATTCCAGGTGATTCTTGATAAGTCTAAGGCTTAGACGCTAAGTGTATCACGCCTTTCCCATCCCCCCTGGCTGATGGATGGAATTTGGGCCTGTGACCTGATTTTGGCTCATGAAATACCAGAGGATGCAGCGGGAACTTGGGAGAAACATCCTTCCCTGGTGAAAAAAGGAGTTTCTTCTTTCTGCTTCTTTCTGACTGGCTACATGAGGAACTGTGGCAGCCATCTTGGGACCACGAAAGAATGCTGAGGCCAGGTGGATGTTGCTGAGAACTGCTGGATGGGAGTAACTAAGTAACCTTGGTGACTCCACTGAGGGTCATTAACTCAACCATAGTCATTTTACCCTGGCCTTGCTGTAGTGTGGGGTGACAAAAATCCCCCCTTACTCAGAAACACTTATAGTTGGATTCTCTAACATTGAGAAATAATGAGCATGCTGAAGAACAAAACCAAGACAGAGTGAGAGGCTTGGGACAGAGAGCACCAATACCTGAGTGCTGAGGGGATCCCAGTGAGGGGCACTTCAGGGATCAGCATGAGGTCTCCTTTTCTGGAAAGCTCCTGCTTTGTCCCATCACAGGCTGGTTTAGACACTCCCACCCCTGTGCTTGCTCCCATTTCAGCTCATCTCATTATCACACCATGCCACACCACACCACAGCCCTCTCCACCACACTGTGACCTGGGGGCTGCAGGCTAGGGCCTAGGCAGAGGGTGAACATTCACTGCAGAGAAGGAAACTGGGCTGAAGGGATACAAGAGAGCTGGGAGGACAAAGAGGTATGTGGGGAAGGGATAAGGGAGAGGCGCAGCCCCAAATATGGACCCTAAGGGCATGAGCTAGCTGGGATGAGCAGAGGAGTTCCCCATGGTAGAGATGGCCACTTACATTTTATTGGTGCCTCAAAGGACTTGGCCACTGTTACCATCACATTCGTGCCGAATACCTAGAAAGAGAGGAGAGGAGTCTGGAGGGATGTGAGAGGCTACATGGGAAGGGTCGGCTTCCCTGGGCTTCCAACTGTGCTGCTGCCTGAGACCTATGGGGAGTGGGGCAGAGGACAGGGAGGGGCTCCAGAGCAGATCTGAAGTTGATGTGAAGTGACCACGGATACTGGTTTGGGCAACACAGAGGGGAAACCCAATAGAGTCCGGAAAGGTCCTCTGGTGGCCAGGTTGCCTGTGTTTATTCAGGGTTCTGTCCCTCCGAGGAGACTGCATTCCCCAGCTCCACTCACTCAAGGCAGTAGAGACCACCTGGGGCCACAGAAAGGGTGCCTGGTTGGGCTCACTGTGATCCCTGTGCTGACTCACAGGGTGAGTGCCTAGGTCCCTTAGCCCAGGGCTGGTAGCAGCCAGGTCACAGTGGATCTGTGCTCCCAGGTCAGTGTGCTTGTGGGGCCTGTCAGTACAGCAAAATATCTCACAACCCAATACCTTTCCTACCTGAGAGCTACTTTGAGCCTCCACTTGCTCACTGAGAAGACATGAGAGTGGCTGGAAGGTACTGGGCACGGAACAGACTCTCAGTAAGAAGTGGAATCTGTTCTCTATGGCTCCATTTTCACAGATGAGCACAGCGATGACCTGTTCTGGGGACTTTCAGTCCAAGGCAGCTGTTCTCCAGAGAGGGGAGCAGGAAGATGAGGGGGCCCTGAAGCTAGACGGCCTTAGCATTTCTGCCTGACTCACCCAGAAGACATCGTAGATGAAGAGTCCACCCAGCAGGATGCAGCCGGTGCTGACGTTGTTCAGATGCAGGAGCTCCACCCCGTTAAGGGAGAAGGCCAGGCCGAAAAGGTTGTTGGCAATCCAATGCTGAGGAAAGGTGGGAGTGAGACCAGCTTGCTGTACCCCGACCCTGCTTTATCACCTCAGCCTCCCCTCTGTCCAGACCCTTGCTACCTACCTTCCTTAGCAGGTACCAGACGCCAACGATACTGCTCAGGCCCAGGCACACCAGGTCCTTGGTGTCAAACTCATAATTGACGATCTCTGAGCAGAGAGGCCGGGTAAGTCCACTCCCCGGGGCGGGGCTGCCCCTCCCACCTGTCAGCCCCTGGACGGAGGAGGGCATGGCTGTGGGCATTGTCAGAGGCCCACAGGCCAAGGAGTTCAACCTTGGCTGGCCCAGATGGGTGGGAGTTTCAGGACAGGGAGAGCTCAACGGAGCCACTCTCAACCCTTTCAATTTCCTAGAAGAGGGAACAGAGGCCCAGAGAGAACACAGGCCTGGCTCGGGGTCAGTGTGAGGTTGCCCTGGATTTTGGAAGTATAGGCTTTGCCACCTATGGCTGGGAGAACTTAGAGAAGCAGTTTTCTCTCTGAGCTTTAGTTTCCTCATCTGTAAAATGGAACTCCAACAGTGCCTCCCTCATAGACTTGCTGGAGAGAGTAAATGAGAAAGTCCTTACAGTGCACTCAGCACAGTGCCTGGCACACGGTGGTGCTCAGCGTCAGGTGTCACTGAGCCCAGGTCTTTAGCAAGGTCCTAGTTCCTTCTGGAATCTTTCCACTTTGCCACCAGAGGAATCAAGACTGCTGGCAGCCCTAGTCACTAGCAGGGGAGGAAGAGATGGAGACCTGGAGAAAAGGCAGGAGGGAATCCCTGAAGCTGCTCTTGTGGTAGGGCCCTGACAGACATCCTGTTGTTAGACCCATCCTCCATTTCCAAACTTCCTAACAAGAGGTGGTAGAACTTGCTCAGGGTCAGATGCAGCCATTCCTTTCAGATTCCAAAGTGTAGCAGACTGCTGCTTGTCCTTCGATTTCAACTGTAACCATAACCTGATTGTTTTAAAGCATCTGTTGAATTTATTCAGCCTAAGCATAAAGGCATTGTCCTCAGGTTGTCACACACAGACACACACACACACACACACACACACACACAAAACAATATCCACATTTAGCCCAAGCACGTTCCTTCTTAAGTTCATTTGTAAGTCTTCATGTGCCACAGCCCATCATTTAAATAATGAATATTTTCAATGCCAATTCCTTTGTTGACTCTTTCAATATCTTTTGTAGACATCTTCATGACTCCAACACACAGAGCGTGCTGTTTTCCTTCTGCCATGACTGCAACAATCGTCTCTCCCCCGGCAGGGTAAAGTTTAGCTCCAGGAGAGGTTAAACCTGGACACATGATATTTGCTCCACTGAGCACAAACTTCACAGCTCCTTTATCGACCTGCTGGTGTGGCAGGATAAAGGGATATTTGTGAAGTAACCTTAGGGTTGGATAGAAGGGCCCTCTTCTTTGTCTAAAAAATAGTAATTCTCCATTTACTGTAAGGATTTCGATATGTTCGTGGCATCGGACTATTTTGACAGGATCTTTCTTAGGCATGATTTGATTAAGCCATGGTTCGATACCTGAAAATTGCTCTATCAGTTGGTTCTTAATACCCTTAATAACCGAGGATTTCAACTGGATGCAGTTGGACACATTTTCCTTTTCATCAAATTTCTTGAACATGATCCAGCGTGAACAGGGCGATGATAGGGAAGACGCCGGAATTGGAAAGAAATTGAATCGCCAAGGATCGGACAGACGCCAGCACACGAGGACCTCCGGCACTGACGACCCAAGCCGTTGTCGCCCACCGGAAAGAGAGACGGCTGGGCGTGCTTTACGGCACAGCAAAAGATGACTACTTCCGCTCCTCTGAACTCCGCGCAGGCGCTCTGCGGATTCTCCGGTGGATTACCGATTTCCGGCCAGAGGAGCCGAGGGGGTGGGGCTTGAGAGGCAAGAGAACGGTCACTCTTCCCAGTTTGCGGAATCGAAGGACTGAGGCGCGCAGCTCGTTTCTAACTGGGCTGAGCTGACTCTGTCCGGCCACACTTTCCAGCTTTCCCTGAAGCTAAATGGGCCGCTGGTATCGATGCCTCATCTTTCCTTTGGTTGGACTGTGGAGTGATGGTCGACATCCTGGACCTGGGTACAGCCCACCCCTGAGTACGGCAGAGCACAACATGGATGGGGCCTGGGACCCTGAAGACACCGTGGAACACGCTGAGACTTTTTTTTTTTTTTTTCTAATATTCAAATTTATCTGGCACTATAAGTTCGAAATGGAATCACTTAAAATCGCTGCTCCCTAGGGACGAGGCAGATTGGCAGGCACCAGTTAAGAGTGCTACTACATTCCACAAGCTTACAATTCTACAGGAGAAGAATAACCTTCCATTTGGTCAAGGCATGATAATCTTGCTGAGCATTCAGACCCATACCCTAACTGAACCTCAGGCTCTCCTCAATTCCCCAGTTTTCTTTTTTCTGAGAGGTTTTTGCTAGAGGGCACGTGCGCTGGTCAGATAGAGACAGAGACAGAAAGCCAGAAATCACCCCCCGGGGGGAGGGATAGCCACACCAATCCCTACTCCTCCATTCTCCTTTCAGGATCTTTGGTAGGCATGTGAGTTTAAGCCACCAGGTCTGGGACTGGAACCGGGTCTAGTACATGGGAGTCCAGTGACATAGCCATTAGGCCAACTGCTGGTCCCACTGGGATAGTTTTCACACTAAAAATAAATATGGAAAAAACAGGGCAGCCAGCTTATTACTGAGTGGTTACTATGAACCAGACAGTGTGTTGAATGCTTTCTACTCATTAGTTACTTGCAGGTTTATCATTTCATTTTACAGATGAAAAAAACAAAAATACCGAGTGCTCAGAGAGGTAAGGCAGTCAGTCACCAAGAGTCTCATGTCAGAGTTGGGGATATGAACTCAGGCAGGCCATGAGATTCCAGAACCCTCTTCTTCCATTGTTTGTTCTACTGGAGAACCCCAATGTTGGAGAGACAAAGGGAAGTGGAGAAGGAAGACACCCAAGGCACACCACAGAGGAAAGTGGGCAGCACTGACCTTCCTTGTTCTCCCCAGAGCCCTGCGTGAAGAGCAGCTGGTACTGTCGATTTGGGAAGTTGGCTGGAAAAAACTTATTCATGAAGGGGCTGGAAGGAAAGACAAAGCAGGTCGGCAATCATAGCCCTAACACCCCCACTCCCCCTATTTACAGCTGCTGCATCCTGGCATCCTCACAGCTGCCCTACTAGTAGGTGTTACTGTTCCTATTCTACAAATGTGGAAACAGAGACCCTCACAGGATGACTTGCCCAGGATCACACAGGCAGCCAACATCTGAGCTGTGATTCACACCCAGGTCTCTGGACTCCTAGTGATAGCTGTACTGTCTCACTGTTACCACCAAATGCAAAGCAGAGGGAGAAAGACTCATGGAAAATGCAATTCTGGGGAGAATAAGGGATTCTAGAGTCTGGCCCATGTGCCACCTATTTGAGTCCTTATAATGCATCTTTCTGACCCCCTTGCAGACCTATCAAGTCAGATGACCCTATGGTCACCACTATTCCACTCCATGATTTGTCAGTGTGCTCAAGCAACTTGGCTGGAGTGGATCAATCGCATGAATCACAGCCCCTAGTGCACAATCACCCTCACATTCACTCCTTTCATGAGGCCTCTATTGCTCAGGGCCAGCTTGGCCTCATCTCTAAAAGCATTCTGATTAACCAGCATGCTCTACTTCCCAGCCAGCCAGGGAATGTACACATTCCTTTTGGACCATCTTCAGAGCAAGATTAGCAAACTAGGGCCTCTTGGCCCAGGCTGGTCCTACAGGGTAGCAGTACCATGAGTGGCTATAAGCTTAGCTGGTATATCCCTGATGTCTGCTCTGTCACTCACCAGCCATGTGGCCCTGGAAGAGCCACTCCAGTGGCTTAATACAGGCCTCAGTCCCCTCACCTGTATGCAGAGATAGTAAGACTATTTGTTTCAAAGGGTTGGCTATGAAGACATGAGAGAAGGTAGGTGAGGTACTTAACATAATAGCACTGGGCCTTCAGGAGGGATTTAAGAACTGTAAACTTCTGTTGTCATGGTGTACTCCTCCAGTGCTGAACTCAAAAGCATTTGACATCAGATCAGACTGGTAATACTTTTTTTGTATTTTGAGAGAGGTTTTTGCTATTAGGGCATGTGTGCTCACCAAAGAGACAGAAAGAGGGAACTTGCCCCCTAGGGAGGACAGCTACACTGAAATTCCTTCTCCATTCTTCTCCTGGATTTCGGGCATGCATATACACACACCTGGTGTGAGTTTCAGGTCGTCAGATCTGGGACTCAAACTGCAGTTGACCATGTAGGAGTCTAGTGCCTTAACCACTATACCGCCTGCTGGTTCCCCAGACTAATACTTAGAGTTAAGTAAATCCAATAATGATCCTTCGAGGGACTGCATTTTTTTTTTTTTTTTTTTTTTTTTTAGTTTTGTTATAGGGCATGTGCATTCACTGGAGAGAGAGGGGGAGGGAGAGTGAGAAATCACCCTCAGGTGGGATTGGCCATGTCATAATCCCTTTTCCATTCTCTTCTTGGAATTTTGAGCATGCACACACACATGGCTGGCATATTTTTCAAGCCACTAGATCTGGGACTTGAACAGTGCAGTCAGCCATGTAGGATCCAGTGCCTTAACCACCACGTCATCTGGCTGGGAGCTCTCTCTCTTAAAAAAATTAGTTTATTTAACTTTATGTATTTATTTTAATTTGAGCAGAGAGGGACAGAGTGAAAGAGGGGGAAAGTAAGAAAGCAAGCTGCCTGGCCTGGGACTTGAACCATGGTCGACCATGGGGGAGTCCAATGTCCTTAACCACCATGTCCCCTGCCAGTCCTGGGAGCACTCTTTTTTTTTTTTTTTTTTTTTTGGAGAGAGCGATTTTTGCTATAGGGGAGTTCTCTTTTTAAGTCTTTTAAAAAATTATTTTATTTAACTTTATTTACTCATTTACTTTATTTCATTTTGACCAGAGAGGGACAGAGCAAGAAAGAGAGAAAGTGAGAAAGCAAGCCACCAGGTCCGGGACTCGAACCATGGTTGACCATGTGGGAGTCCAGTGCCCCTAACCACCATGCCACCTACTGGCCCCTCTTTAAGTCTTTGATAACTTGGAGAAAGATATGGATTCAAGAATCATCTCTGGGCCTTGATTTTCCCACACGACAAACATCCAATCCCTCTCAGACTGCAGGGCTGAGGAGTGAATAATTAGAGGACTTTATGAATAGAGATGTGACAGGTACAAGGATGGAATTGAAGCAGGCTTCTGCACCGGGGTTCTGAGGAGGCTAGAAACTACTTCAGCTGTTTGCTGAATCACTTCTGGGGGAGTCTGAAGCCAGGGTGTGTATGGTTATGAGCAGGGGTAGAGGTGGCCTAAAGAGCTGTCCTTCACCCAACCTGGCCTCTTTTTTAGGAGACTGGTGCCTAGCTTCTCAACCTGCAGAGTGTGATGGTTAATAATGAACACTAGGGGGCCAGCAGGTGGTGTGGTGGTTGAGGCACTAGACTCCCAAGTGGTGGACCATGGTTTGAGTCCTGGACCTGGCAGTTTGCTTTCTCACTTCTCCTGTCTCTCTGTTCAAATTATACACACACACACACAAAGATAATGAATGAGATTCTTTAAAAATAATGTACACTGGGTCAGCCTCGTGGTTAGAGGAGCCAGATGTTACATGGCTGTAGTTTGAATCCTGGCACTGATGGCTTGAGAAAAAATGCTGGGTGTGTGTATATACATGCATGCTCAAAATCTCCACAGGATGAAGAAATGGAGAAGGGATTGCAGCATAACCTTGCCCCACTGGGGGGTGCTTTCTCCCTCTCCTTCCTTATCTCTTTGGCGAGCACTTGTCCTTTCTGGTGATTAAAAATAAAATAAAATAAATAAAAATGTGGACTCTGGAGCTAGATCTTCTGGGTTCAAATTCCAGTTCTGCCACTTATTAGCAGTGTGACATTGGGAAAGATACTTAACTGCTCTGTGCAACTGTCTCCTCACCTGGAATATTACACCTTTCTATAATGGAATCATTAAGGAGATTAAACCGGTGTTTGGCACCTTGTAAGCTTAGCTGTGTCTTCAAGGTCAAGTAGGAAGTCTCCAGACTGATGTCTTTATTATTCTGAGGCAAGAGGGATTGCTGGATGACACAGCGGACGCGTCACGACCTGGCTGGTGTGAATCTGTGGGCAGAGGCGCCGTCTCATCATCTTCGCTCTACCCATGCCAGACCTGGTGCCTAGGAGGCATCTCGTAATGCTGGCTGCACTACTTTGAACACAGAGTTTTGTAGCAGGCAGAGGTTCTTTTGGGCCCTTGATGGCTCAAATCAAACCTAAAGGTCACTGTTTCCTGCT